TACTTTACTAATATCGGACAAATGTAATTATGGTTATTAACTACATATTGAGGACGATTAGATTTTCTATTTAGACCTGTCACGTGATGTGGCAGTCACGTGACTTTTGCACATATACTTGCAGTATTGAGGTCACCTACAAAATTTCAATAGTGCAAGGGCAAAACCAAGTTAAAAGTCGCCCGCGTGGCGAAATGGTTGGAGCGTCTGCCCTAAAGTCGCGGAGTAAGGAGTTGATCCTTACGTCGCAGATTCGAATCCCAGTGTGGGACGTGGAGACCGGTCCTTCGGATGATACCGTATAAACCGAGGTCCCGTGTCGCAGTAGGTGCGGGCACGAAAAAGATCCCTCACTGCTCAATGGCCGTAAGTGCCGAGTATAGGACAAAATTTGCAGCTCTCCACAGGCAAGTGGTGGCCTCTCCATATGAGTGAGAAATTCTCAAGAGGGACGTTAAACAACATACAAACAAACAAAAAAACCAAGTTAAAATTCGAAGTTTAATTTTTAAATAGTTTCAGCACCCATTGCAGTTTGTGAAAAGTGCTGCGATCCTATATAGATTCTACAATTTCATAGTTTAAATTATATTTATATGAACGCATACAGAATTTTTTGCTGGTCAGCTTCATTAAATATAGAAATAAATAATTCAGTTTCAAGATTTCAACAGGATTGCAGCACTTTTCAAATAGCTTAATACTTCTACAATTTATGATTAAAAACTTGTCATGATCCATTGAGGGTATGCCCTTGCATTAGATCGATTGAATAAGACCCTTAGATTATCCTCCAATGTACCTGCATACAAATATACGGCAGTATCCGTTAAATGAGAAAAGTACGGAAAATATATGAACAAAAACATAAAAAGGACATTGTATCTAAATTAATTGCCTCTTAAAATTTGCGAATAATATTTTATTTAATTATAAAATACATTTCTTCATTGTGAAAATATTACTTGATCCGGCTCTCACTGCATACAAACTGCGTCAAGTTATACAGAATGACGTCATATCGACAAGTGCAGTACGATCAGTGACTTGTTTAAACCTTGCTATGTGGTATTTAATTCATCACAAAAACGCATGTTATAGTAAGTTTTGATGTAGTTTAATTATCTCCTACAGTTTAAAATCGCAAATCATTTCATTTTTGGTATTTTTAAGGATTGCTAGTTTCGTGTGATGTAATAGTTAATATTTCCAATAAAAATTAGGCTCTGCCTCCCTTTTATAGCCTTAACTGTGCTGCGTTTTATAGGACTTTTCAGCATTATTACTATTTGTTATTTTCACATAAAATTCACTTTTTTGATAGATGCACCCTTGCTCATAATAACTATGCACTTTGTTTGTTTGCTCAATGCAAAGGAGCAGAGAAGAAGATTTTCGAAGAAATAATGCATTTTCACTATATAATCAATGAAATATGTGGAGCTAACGAACAGTATTCGAGCTCAAAAGTCCATTAAACATTATAAAATAGGAGCAGAGCAAACACGGACCTCTAAGACATCAGAGGTGGGATCAGGTGCCATGGAGGAGTGAGCATCCCCTACCGACCGTTCACAGCCGCCGTGTGCTCCTTGTCATGATCGGGAAAATAACGGAAATATCCGTCTACAATTCAGTGTGTAAATAATGGCCTAATAATCAGCATGAAACGCGTCAGTCAGCATTTGACTCCATGAAAGATTGTATTTGCCGACAAGGTCATTATATCGACCATAGAACTTACGAGATGATGACTTTAAACGAGACTGCTGATATTCTTGTTTCATCAACTTGTTTGTCAATAACTTACCTTTTCTAGAAATTGTTCATACGCAGAACATGCTCTGGCGTATCGAATCAACTGAGAGAATTAAACCCCGTATGCAGGTGATAAGGGTATATTACTGCATAAGTAAGGGAAGTTGACGATTGAAAAGTTAAAGTCATCACGTTTATCATAAAGTGTAATGAGTTCTTTTGGATTTTATACGGCTGAGATGAAAGAACAAATTGTAAAAAAAAATTGAAAATTGAAAAAAAATTATTAATGAAAATAAACAAAAAATAATAATAATATTCTCTTTCCCTCCTTTCAAACCACACAGAAACAAGAAATAATATGAAAACAGTTATTAACTTTACAAATATCTGATACTTTAATTACTTTTAAATCACAAGTCTTATGTCTCAAATAACGTATGAGATTCAATTATTCAAAATAATTGTTTTTTTTTAATTAGAAATTAGAAAACGTTCAACTTCAATGAATAATCTGTATAATAATTGTTGGAAATTCCCTTTTTTAAAGATTTTATTCACATGCAAAATTTATTCACTAAATTCACTACACGACAATAGTCACTCAGGAAGGGTTCCCGCCACCACATGCTGATCCGCACCCTGATAACCACGCATGCGGAAAATCGACTTCAAAGGGTTCACAACTCTAGATCTCTGGTCTCACCCTCCTACTTGGAACTAACGTACAAATATAATACGTCTGTCCTTAACAAAATGCACCCCTCAGTACCCGCATGACCATCCATAATGTCGCTTTACATCACACATGACTCTTATTGGTATCCGCCGAGAAAATGTGCCAAACACCCCTCACGCCTCACGCATTGAAAATATCATACGTTTAAGTAACCCTGAACGAAATTTACACATAGAAAAACTACAAATAAACGAACATACTTACAATATTGACAAACATACAAAAAAACTAATACGCTTACCGGCTAGTGAGATAGGGAAAACACAAAAATACGCCAGTCCAAACAAGCCTTCCTTGTTCTAATGACTACCTGTTTGACAGTCCTTATAACTGCAATATTCGCAAAGACATAAGAACGTATAGGACAAGTAGAAACGTGGCATTCGTCTGACCACTCTGGCCTAACCGGTCACTTATATACTCCTTCTAAAAATAAATTGCATTCTACACCCATCCACGGTCACCCAATACAGTCAAAATTAAATCAACAAAACTATTCCGAAACTAAAAAATTGAATCAACTTTATTACATAAAGCTCTGTTGTTATATTACCATTAACGTCTTTTCTAATAAAATATCCAAATATGAAACAGATGTGTCAGACTCTGTGGTATATTTTATCTCAAGCTCACCAGGATATATCTTGTCGACATCAGAATGGAAATAACTATTGTTAATTGGCAATACGTAATATATCTAAATGTCGAGTTGAAGGCCACAGCAAGTGTTTTCCTCTTTTCATGCAAAAGATTTGGAACAAGTTCTGCTTCATATGAATACAGAAAATAGGTTTGCTAATAACGGGGCGCAATTGGTACCCATGGCAATTCCAATAGATTGTTGGAAGACCTGGTCTCCATGTTAAGTATCATATTAAGCCGATTAATTGACTGACATTATTTATACAAATTGTTAGGTCATCATTTTCACACTTATTTGTCTACGGATCTTTCCGTTTGTATCTAATAAAAATGACGTAATTTTCTTGCTATTCCATTCATTATGACGTCATGAACTACATCCTTATTCTTAAATCCTGATTTTTTTCCCCCAAAAATGGCCAAATATTTTGGCACTTTTTCTATATCTTGCATAGACCTAAACCTATGATCCAAAATGTTAAATAAAATAATGAAAGAATTGTTTCATCACGTTATAATCCATGTTTTAGTTTTTGGATGGAGGGGTTGGTTCATATTTTAATTATTTGCTGAAGGTACTCAAATACACTCATTATCTCCAAAATTGAAGAACATTGGAATTTCACATAGCAAGTTTTTCAATACCTGGACTCTCGAGGAATCTTTTTCATAGGATATGAATGTACTAAGTGTCTAATTTTTATTTATGTTTGAAATGGAACTTGGGACTAGGTGAGTGAATTGGTATATGGGCAGGGCCATTTTATGGATAAAGTGAACCTAGCTCTTTGTTGACGTTAGACGTTTTAAAATGACCTACAACAAGCTCTGTTAGATAGAAACGTGAACAAGAAACGTTAATAAGATGGTAAATGTTAATTCATATATTTCAAGGAAAATAGTTTTGAAAAAGCTAATTTATTTTACAATTATACATTTAGATTATTTTCAGAATGTAAAAAAGTCTTCCAGTCAGATTAGTTTACTTAAAACCACTTTTCTTTCAAAAATGATACATCTATGCATATCGCTTATTTTGTGACCAATATGACAGGAAGTATTTGAGATATTTCTTACCGTATTACTAAAACGTACCGATGGTTCTTTGCCAAAAAGGCAGTCATGAATCAATTACCACACTGTTGTTCTAGTAATCTATTTCTCCTTCAAGATTCAGTCTGAAGTCACAAATGAAACTTTTGAAATCATAATTCAAAAAGCACAAAGTTTCTTGTTATCAAATTCTAAGCCCGACGCCTTTAATAGTATTTGTTTTAAGTCTAACAGACATGCAGCATTTATCTTATTATACAATAGAAAAAAAAGTTGATTCAGTGGCTGCTTACGTAATGACTTTAAAAATTAGTGAAGTGCATCATTCAAATAAGGTAATTTAAAATCCTTTGAATTGTTTCATAGACGATAAAGGCCTACTAACAACAAAATTGTATTACAAACGAGATGCCTTTTTTCCAACGTCAACTTTCCTTATTTATTTAGAAATATTCCGCTATCACCGGCATATGGTGTTTATGTTTCTCAACTTATACGATACATGCTTCGAGTACGATCAATTTTTAAATCGATGCAGGCTACTGACAGATAAGTTGATGTTACAGGGAATTTTAAAATCTCGTTTAAAGTCAGCATATCCTAAATTCTATGGTCGATATAATGACCTAGTTAACAAATATAACTATTATTGGGTGGTACTTTGGCTGACATGTTTTATACCAATTGTTATTCCTTTGTTTTTATATTACATTTGAATACGGAATATTCCGTTTACCTGATCAATACATACGGCTCACTGCAGGTGTGACCGTTAATCAGTGGATGTTTTCTCCTACTCGGCACTTGATCCAACCTCTGGAATTTCTTGGGGTCCGTATATGCCCTGTTCACAGGTGTGTATTGTTTGTAGATTTTTTTGAGATCAATCACTGTTCGTTATCTTCACCTTTTCCTTCATGATGCTTTCTTCCCAGATTGACCAATTTTGTTATCAATTGAAAGTTCTAATCCACCATAATTGATACAAAATTATACACTGTGGAATCATTTATATTCGTGGGGGTCAATGTTCGTGGGCAAGCAAAATTTAAAGTTCGTGGGCAGGCAATAATCGTGGGTTACTCGTTTATACGGTAGATTCAATTAATCAATATGTTTACAAAATAAACGTTCATGGGGATGTAAATTCGTGGGTAAGGAGACCCACGGAATCCACAAACATTAGTCCCCCACAAACAATGATGATTCCACGGTATCCAGAATAAAGAGGGTATGACGTGTTTTGCAATTACGAACACGTCAAGATTTATTTCTTATAGTATTGTTAAGTGAATAAAATGAAATAAAATAAATACACGTAACTAATGTGTTTTGTTCAATGATGCAATCAATGTTCATATCTTTAATTGAATAAATGCGATTGGGGTTCCTCTTATGTTCTAGTTTTAACATGATATCAGCGGGATTATTTGATATGTATGCAGACTCAGCTGTCCTCTGTTACTGAGTCTATTTTCGAAAATTCTGTAGAATACTCCTCAAATTACTTAAGGAATCACTCGCTGTAACAAAGAAAATCATGAGCAAAATACTCCGTAAGCATAAAATTTTCTTCAAACACTGACCATTACTATTAACAAATTGAATATAATAATGAAAAATTGTTCATCCTTTAGGTCGAGAAATTTTATTATCAATTACTGTATTATAATACATGTTGTTTACCGGAAACACTGGATAAATAAGTCGAATTAATAGTTAATTCATGGTATAGAGCTGTTGCTTTGCGGATACAGTACCTAAAAACACAATTTAAAAATTATATTCATTTTAATAAGCCTTTTCTTTGAGCAATCATATATTTAGTCAAATCTTATTAAAATGAAAAAATCAAAACCAGGTTATCAAATATTTTCCTTAAGTATTAATATGTTGAGTGTGCAACCGTTGAGGCGAGCGCAGTTGTGACTAGTATGTTTATCTATAGATTAAAATGTCTTAATTCTTTCTAAGTGTACACTTTAGGCTGGAATCTGAAATTAAAAATTGATCATGTAATTATGTATGTACACAATTCAGAATAACACTATACATGTACAAATTCATGTGTATAAGTATCCGATTTTTTTTAAATTCCTTAATTTTACTTTGCAGAGACTTAAAAGTTTTTTCATGCACCCGAATCTCTATGACGGTAAGTACATGTATGTGTTTTATCATCATTTTTTTCAGACTCAAAGTATTGGTTGAATCAAATATTTCCTGGTACTCTGTCCATTGATCACTGAAATGAGCCAGACGCTATTTTCTATTTTAAATTAAACTTAAATCCGCTCTTTAAACCGCACGAGACATTTAGAAGGGTCTAGACTGTGGCGTCACATGACGTCTTACGTAAGTTGCAATTCCAAAACAGAGTTTCAAAAAAGCAAATATTGAACATAGACTCTAATCTACCATCTCTCTGCACATTCCATTTAAGCACTTTCCATTCAACCACTTGATTTACTTTTTATTGTTAAACTTTTCTTTAGTTATTTCAAGAAAGTGAGCCAAAGAGCAGAATTGCATTATGGAAACAGTTTGTTTGCCTTACATAGTGAGAACTGTGGAAAAGAATTCTTTTGGAAGAACGTGTAAAATTCTGAACTTTCTCTTCGTCATGGTGTTGCTTTCAGAGCTGGCTGTAAAGAATGTATTGGTTAGTTCCACGTGTAGTTTTATCAACGTTTTTGCCTTAAAAAAGGAAATTCGCGACTTTCATGACATTTTAACCTCTCTGTAGGGTTTCTCAATTCTAAAGACTAACACATTTATCACACATGGTATATATTTTTTAGTTGCACTAGCTCAAACAATGATAACTATAATCATCAGTCATTATCATGTGAAGACAGGTCATCCAGGATGTGAGAAGTATGTCATATGAATTAAATTTTTCCTAATGTCTATAAATAATCATCGATAGACCTGTTTATTCATTTAAAAACACAAATTAAAAAAAGAATTCTATCTAAAGCACCATCTTCCTTATCATATAATACATAGTATCATACAGGGTGTTTCATAATATATGTCACACATCTAAATGGGCATACTCTGAATATCAAGCATGATACCAAAAATACCAAAATCCCATAGACAATCATATTAATCTTAAATTATGATATTGCAAAAGATTGGGAAAATTATAATTCCATGAAGTACACTGATGATATAATCAGTGATGTCATGATTTCAATTGTTCTCAAAATGGAGTAAAACTGGCAATTTAAAGATTTGAATTTTGTAAACTTATTATAAGCACGATATCTTAAATAGTCTACAGGGTGTGATGAAGAAAAATATCCAGACCAGAAAGCCATTGTCTAGTTTTTATTTATTAAGGTAAATTAAGAAGTTTGAACAAAGTGTAATGTAAAGATGAAAGACAGTTAAATCCTGCCCCCCCCCCCCCCCCAAATGAAAACATTGTCAAATTGTAGTCAATCATTGAGAAAACCTTAAGAAAGTCAGTTAGATCTGAGTTTAGGGAAATGGATTGGGACAATGTATGTGTATCAAGTGTATTTAGAAATTTTCGATTTGAATTGAGTGTGTCTGCATACAAGATTTCAGCATTACAGCATTTAAAGCCAACTGAAATTCAGAGTTGGTTAAGTTTACAAAATTGATTGAAAGAGCGAAAGAAGTGGACGTCAGCACATACCGGTAGTTCTGAAATGACATATTTATTTAAATGTATCTTTAAATAAGAAAATAAATATGCACTTTGGGGGTTCTAAAAATCTAGATATAAACAAGAAAACTGTCAAGTATCCTGTGAAACGTACGAAGCAGTGGTCAGAAATCTCCACGAGTCTCTTGAGGTATTTAGGACAATGGTAAGGAAACACGTGGAGTATAACATTTTAGGAAATCGTTGCCATAGAAACTGAAATGGAGAATGTTGGATACTTTTGACTTAAAATAATAATTTTGAATATCTTCTGATTAAAATGATATATAAAATGTATATGTAGCTTTTGTTGTAATTTTTCTTTCTGCCTTTAGATGTGTGACATATATTGTGAAACACCCTGTATATTGTATAGGTACATGTATATACCTCTCTCAGTTCTATTTACACTGTAATGTATTTTTAATCCAGTGTAAACCGTGAATATTGAGACTAGTTTTTATTGTCAACCTTTTCCCATTTAGTTCCCCCTATTTCTTGAGAATATCTATTTTATTCATATTCTTCTTCCTCGTGTATTTTGCAACTGCGAAGCTCTGTGAAGACGTACCCGAAGCTTTAAAATGCGTTCAAAACATATTATTGCATTGCGAGATCGGTTTTGATTTTAATTTGTAAATTATGTACTTAAGTGCAGACAATTTAAACAAAGGGCTACATATTAACATATTTGTGATGATATCACATGACTTTAATTGTTGATCACATGACAGTCATTTAAATTTTTTTGAAGTATTTCACATGAATCGCTTCGGCGCAGCCGTTTAACACAATTATTATAAACTTCATATACATAAACTCGCCGTATCTTAATGTACCCAAAATGTGATTGGGAAAATTCGTAGTATTACTTCGGTACAAAAAATTTTATGAGTTTAACTTACCGGCAAATTTGATGGTATTTTCCACTTAATATCGTAATCTGTATTAAAACAAAACCATCAAACACTTTTTCTATGCAAGATTCAGTTAAGGAACAAACTCCTCTTACACATTTCCACAAAAGATCTCAAGTTAGTCCTTATGAGGTACCTGAGCCAGACCCTTTTATATTCATATAAATAATAAATTCTACCTCTAACCACCGGTATAAAACATATTTCAAAATTATATTTTTCGTAAGAATTCTAAACACGCTGAACTTCATTCAAGGTAATCAAGTGATGCGTTTTAAAATATTTGGACATATAAATTTAAAAATAAAATTAAAACACGTGAATTTTACATTTTACAAGCAGTTTGAAATAGGGTGTAAAGTTTATGACATGTCATTACAGCTCAAGTTTGCAGTGACTTGACGTCATTTTCCATTACGACGTCAAATATTGGTGGTTCAGAGAATTGAAAGCACAGACTGCACTGTGATATTCTATGGGAAGTCTTAACATACCTGCGTGACTTTTTGCATTACCTTTTTATTTTATATGCAACTTGGATACAGTAATTTTTTCCCTTCATTTTCTGTTTTCTATCACAAGTTGCAATATATACTGAAACGCAAAAGAAACGCAACTTCATATTCTAGGGGGAAATATTATATATAAGATATAATTTTGTATCTAAAAAGTAGGAACATCTTCAACTTTGTAAATATCTGTAATTTAACGGTTGAATGATTTTCATACCATTACCGGAAGTTAAGTTTGAGTCTGCTTAACAGAAATAAAAAATTACATGTTTTACAAAACATTTGGCAATAATATGGGGTTTTAAGGATTTGTATCTGTTCATCGTAAGAAATGCAACAATGTTCCAAAAAATAAATTACCCTTTCTTTTCCGTAAGCGATGCCAAGGCTTCCTGAAAATGACTTAAGTACGCATTTCCATTGCTCTAGCTGGAAAATCTCAAAATACAGGTGATGGAGAGTTGCAGATGCAAATATGACCCACATCACACTTCAACAGGCTCTTACGTTCCATTAGCATGAATGACAGTCCTTGGGCCGGAAGTCCAAGGGTTACTACACTGCACTTGGCTAGAGAAAATTCGACCTCATCATCTGAAAAACAGGCGTTTAGAAATGGCAAAGAATATTTCTTTCACTTATATCTCGAGATTGATGAACATACTGCATCGTAGAAATCAAGCTGCGACTGTTGTGCATGGCAGTCTTGCACGCTGTAATTAAATGGCCGGGTGGGTGGGGGGGGGGGGGGGGGGGCTGGGGGTGTTAACAGTCATGTGTTACTTTCTAAAGTTATAAGATAATCATTTAACATTTTTATCAAATCTCTGATGTTTTCAAATCAAATTTTACCTAAGTATATTCATTTTTGAAAATCATTAGATGAAAAATTCAAATATTTGTAGATTACTGCTTGTTGCGTTTCTTTTGCGTTTCAGTATATATATATATATATATTTTATATTTTTGCAATTATTTACATGCCGCTAAAAGTTATGACAAGATCATTTAATAAGACCTACAAAGATTTCCCGTTCATCCAAAAGTAAAATGGTCTATGTGCATAACACTTCTTTCAAATGATATATATTTCATACCAATTCTTAGGCCTTTGTTTTCATAGTAATTTGACTAAGGATTATTCTGTCCACTTGATCAGTATATGGGGTCCACGGCGGGTGTGACCGGTCGACAGGGGATGCTTACTCTTCATAGGCACCTGATCCCAACTCGAGAATTTACAGGGGTCTGTGTTTTATGCCCTGTTCACAGATTTGTATTGATTGATTTTTTTAAGATCGATCACTGTTTGACATCTTCACCTATCTTTAGCTATAATAAATTACAATTGTAATACTGAATCTTATGTAACATTGTCTAACATCATATTACATTAATTCTGAGAAAAAATTTATTTCTTACTTTTATACTTTACATTCCATATGTATTTTCCTTACAGAGTATGTTGAAAGCTTCGGCATGCATATCTTCATGATACAGACCGGGAAAGCTAAAGGTTAAATAATGATTTTATTTTGAGGTCACAAACGTTGAATGCCGTAAAAGTGTATTGTCATAAAAGAAAATAAAATTTCACGCTTACTTTAAACAGTAACGGCTGCTCCCTCAATTTAGCTTTACAAGTACGGTGTGTATCATTTAAACAGGTTTAATTTATTTAAAGAAGCAATTTTTTTTTTATCAATCTACAATTACCACGAGATTAATAAATGTAAATATAAGCATTGAATTTTACGATTTTGAAGTTCAACGTGTCATAAAATGAACGGATGTTCAGAAAAATTGTTCTAACGCGCTAACTCGCGTTATTCAATTTGTTAGCACAGCCGTCGTGCTATGACAAGTTAAACGTCTAAACTTTACAAATTTTACAATTCAACGCTGAATTGATTAGTTTGTTTGTTTGTTTGCTGTTTAACGTCCCTTTGAGAATTTTCCACTCATATTGCCACCAATTGCCGGTGGAGGACTGCAAATTTAGATCTGTACTCGACACTTACTTGTACGGTCTTTGAGCAGTTAGAAAAACAGTAAAGGTTTCTTTTTTCGTTCTAGCACCTAATGCAACATGGGACCTCCGTTTATTTCATCCAAAGGACCGGTCTCCACGTCCCACAGTGGGATTCGAACCCGCGACGTAAGGATCAACTCCTTACTCCACGACTCTAGAGCAAACGCTTTAACCACTGCGCCACGCGGGCTACTCAATGCTTAATTGAATCTTTAGCCCTCATTCAATTTTCATATCTTTATCACCAAAAGACAAAAGAACGCAGCAATTTTCAATGGTTATCAGGAATAAATTTGTTCTGCAAAACATTTAAATCTTTTCATATATTTGAATTATCGCCTTTGATGTTTGGTGATACGCAATTACCTG